GCTTGGGTTGGTTGCTACACTGTACTCTTCACCAATTGGATGGTCTGAGCGTAACTTTGGGGGTGCTAGTAGCCTTGGCCTGTTATTGAGCCCTTCAAATTGAACTTTCAGGTATTCTCTTTGTTTTTTGGACATTTTGCTTCTTTGCTTATTGTAATCCTTTTTCTTGGTCTTAATATATTCCTTTATAATAAAAAAAAAACGCGAAACTTTTTATTTCTTTTATATTATGACTATGATATGCATTGTGTGGTCATAAAGTCTGTGCATTAAAATGAATTCTATTGATTTATCTCTTGAGAAAATTAAGTGGACCAATATATATAAATAAATAAATAATTTATTAATAAAATATATTTAACATATATGTCTAATGATATTCGTAAATATAAATATAATTGGAATCAAGCATGAATATTGAGACACATCAAGTTTGAATTTCCAAACTCCAATTTCAACAAATTTATAATCAAACTAAACGTCCAGGCGAAATGAGCCCAACGACACTGAAATTAATCCAATCCGAGTCTAAAAGGGCTCAAATCAAGGAGTTAAAGCATATTTGGAAGCCTCATAACATTAAATGGATTATCAAATGATCTCCAACTTAAACATGCTTATAGTCAAATCGAGGGACTCGACGAGACGTATCCAACGAGCACAAGATTTCTTAATTTTAACATCATTAAGGCACTTAAATGCTTGATCACCGCTCCATGATCGAGGAAATCAATATGGGTTGTCTGATGGAGTACTTCGAAATTTGCCCTGTTTCTTTTTCAAATTTATGGATCATGTCACTCTCAAAATTTATAAATAAACCCTCACTCTTTACAAGAGGATGAGGAGGCTTGGACCATGAGCTCGAGACTCAAAATATTTTGAGCTCCGAGGCTTGAAAAATCTTGAAGTTCCACCCCGGCACCACTGCCAGCAAACCCTCAATGCTCAGGCGCCATTACTAGACCTCTGCACAATCATTTTTGTTGGACCTCATTCTGACCACCATTGCGGACTCTTACCCCTGCATTGTTGCCTGTTGACAACGATCTCTTTGACCACCATAGTCCAACTACAATCCCTCTGACCACAATCCCTTGACTACAACCCCTAGACCACGATAGCCCTACTACGGTCCTTCCGAGCTCTGTCAACTCCCGACTATGGCCCCTCCCTCCATCGTCACCCGACTACAATCCTTCCGCACTCTGTCACTCGTTGACTAAGTTCCTTCTGACATTTGCCATCCAAATATAGTCCTACTGACTAAATGAACTGAACAATATTCTTTTGAGAATAGCTCTCATTTCATTGGATTATCCTAACTCCAACTATGCAATACGTTCTATACAATGTATATTTGTTACATTTAGCCAACACATTTCCCGAAGGAAAGACATCATTTGTAATCAACAACCAATACTAGTGAAGTCATTTTAACTATGCAAGACTCCCTGATTTTTTCCCATATTGGAATTTTTCATATGAAAATTATGGTGTCTCTTATGATTATTGCACTTCTTTCTTGTATATGTATGCGCCCTAAATCTTTATACAAAGCTAAAACATTAAGCTCCTCATCTTTTAGTCACATTAAATGTTTTGGCATGCAATAATATTATCGTAAGACTCTTATCATTAAATTAATTTAACTCAAATATTTATGATGTTGAATAGTTTGATGGAAGAGAGTTTAAAATTTTCAAAAATATCATCAAATATTAAGTTTTGATAGTAATGTACATATATTATATTGCCATTAAGTAGTAAAAAAAATGGTAAAATGTTTCTTAGAATTTATTAAAATGTGAGACATCTTGTTTGATTTCATGTGACATGAATTCATATCTAACCATGTTTAGGGCTGTAAATGAATGAAGCGTTCGATGAGTTGCTCGTGGCTTGGCTTGATAAGAGCTCATTCATGTTCGTTTGATAAAATAAACGAACTAGCTTGAACACTTTTGATAAATTCTCGATAGCTAAATAAACGAGCTTGAGCAACTTGGCGTTCGGCTCATTTATGTTCATGAACATTATCATTTAAAGCTCTCAAATAAGATTGTTAAGAAGCTTGATTACAATTTTTTAAATAAATGTTATTAAATTAATTTTACTAATATATATATATATATATATTGAAAATTTCTGCTCCATTTTCCCTCTCCCATTGTCTCAACATGGGGGGATGCGGGGCGGGGTTGACAACAGTTGGTTTAGTCCCACTCCATGATAATCAACATGATTTTGCTCTATATAACAAAATATAGTGGGAGTGCGTTTAAAAGTTGGCGATGGGGTGGGTTGGGCTTATTAAGAAATCTTCCACCCCTGACAGATGGGCGTAACAATTCGGGCTGTCGGTTGGTAAGTTGCTCGATTTTTTATTATTATTGTTTTGTGAGTGGCCATGCTGTGTTCGTTAAATGAGCTGCTCGATAAGAGGCTCGATAAGTCAAAAATGAACTAAGCTTGAACATGAACACAAGCTGAGCTCCAACAAGTGAGTTTTAAATGAGCTTGAGCTCGAACAAGTACCAACGAAGCTCAAATTTTATCAAGCCGAGCTCAAACACGATCTTGGCAAACAAGCTCGAGCTCGAACATGCCAAAGCATGGCTCAGCTCGGTTTCGTTTACAACTCTAGCAATACTGGTTCCACCAAATTATCCATACTTATCATTTTTCTCTTTGCTGAAAGTGTCCCTCATTTAAATGGATACTTATTGGAATAGTTATCATTAATGGAATGCTAACAATCACTAAAATAGTATATGGGCCCCTAACTCCAAGCAAATTAATGAATAATAAATTTTGCTAGACCCACCCATGAATTCATTTCCTTTCTTATAAAGAATTCTTGTAGAGATAACTGCAGTTAAAAGTATAGGAATATTAGGAATATTTAATAGAATTAGAAATTTCTATATTTGCTATGAACTCTAATAAGAAATACTTTATATGATCACACTTTACATTAGCATCTTTATAATTATTAGAACTATTATTCATAACATTTTCTTAATTTGAATACTAATTGGATAGATTTGATTAATTTTAAGCACAAATATGCTTGAATTTGTCTAATTTATTTAATCTATATGTAAAATTTTAATGACTTCAAATACCATATCATATATACTAATATTTGATATTTAATATGTTAGTTATGAAGAAAAAAAAAAATCAGAACAAATCGAATCATCAATTAAAATTAATTTTAACATAAATTCCAGAATTAAAAGTCAATCTAATGTATTTTTGCATTAATATATATATATATATATACACACACACGTCATAATGAAATTATCTTGATCGGGCACGAATCTCGACGTAAAAATCAAGTTGGAAACTTCAGAAATTAAATCCGGGTACACCCAAACTCCGATTTTAGCAAGCTTACAGTCAAACTGAGCGTCTCGGAAATACAAATCCAACGACACCAAATTTGACTCAATCCGAGCCCAAATTGGTCCAAATCAAGCGCCCGAAGTGCTGTTGGAAAGTTCATACCACAATTTGAGTTACCAAACAGTCTCCGATTTTAACGAGCTTATACTCGAATCAAGCGGCTCGACGAGACAAATCCAACGAGCCCAAGATCTCCGAATTCCGACATCACTAAGGCCTTCAAATGTCTAATGAACGGTGCATGATCATATGATTCAATATCGACCGTCCATTTGACCACTCCCCATTTGCCCTTGATCTCTTGCCTATTTATGGGTCATGCCACTCCAGAAAAACTATAAATAGACCCCTCATTCCTCATAAGAGGGGACCGGAGCAAGAAGAAGAAGTGAAGAAGAAGAGAAGGGGAAGGAGAATCAACTCCTCCTCGACCACCAACAGAGTTCTTCCTGCCGCCCGAACACGCCGGGATTCTGCGTGATATTCGGGAGAACGTCAGAATTCTGCCCAACTTCCACGTGATGCTGAAATTCTTCCCAATTTACAACAGAGTTCTCTCATGACGCCGAAACTCAGCCCAAGTGAAGCCAGAGTTATCCTCTGCCACCAACAGACGTCGAACTTCTACCCGACGTCGAACCATCACTCTTCGCCAAGTTTTTAAGTGACGCCAGACTTCTACCGGTTATCAGACTTCGCTGGACGTCTACACGAAGATGGATTTCTTTCCATTGTTGGACTTTACCTGATGATGTCCTTCTGATATTCGTCGTCAGACTACAGTCCTTCCGACCTCCGTCGCCAGCTGACCACGGTCCTCCTGACTTACGTCGCCCGCCGACTACAGTCTTTCTGACCTCCGTAGCCCGCCGACTACGGTCCTCCTGACTTATGTCGCCCGCCGACTGCATTCTGTCCAACCCCCGTCCCCCGTCGACTACGGTCCTCCTAACTCACGTCGCCCGCCGACTACAGTATTTCCAACCTTTGTCGCCCGCCGACTACGATCCTCCTAACTTACATCCACTAGTATTGTAGTTGATTACAAATGAGGTCCTTCCGACCTCCGTTGCCAACCGATTACGGTCCTCTTGACATACGTCGCTTACCGACTACAAGTCTTTCGACCTCCGTCGCTCTCGGACTTTCGACCTCCGTCGCTCTCGGACTACGGTCCTTCCGACCAAACGAACATGTCAATAATGACTCTTTGTATCAACATCATGTAATGTACTCCATAAGATGTACATCAAGCTAAGACCTTCCACCAAGAAAGGACCTCATTTGTAATCAACTACAATACTAGTGGATTCATTCAAACTGGGCTAGGCCCGTGGTTTTTTCCCCCTTTTCAGGGGTTTTTCACGTAAAAATTTTGGTGTCTCATAAATGTTAGACCCTCTTTCTTTATCTGATTGAGTGCCGGATTTTCGTACAACGCTACCGGCTTTGCAGTTATATATATGATTTTTTTCATTCATACAACCACTGAATTTTAAGATCTAATAAATATAAATTTATACTAAAATTCAGTGGTTGTATGAATGAAAAAAATCATATATATAATTGCAAAGCCGGTAAAGCCTATTTTCCCCGCTTGAGAAGCAAACACGGCTCAAGGTGAGCGAACCAGAACTCTAAATATTAATTTTCTCTTTTCTCCCTTCTTCAAAAACCCTAGCCCCGGGTTCTTTGCACGACAATAGAGCGACAGTGGACGTTCAATTTTTGTCTGACGATCGTTTGCAGCAACTATACGACCGACGCGCCTTCGCATGAGTTAGGGTGCGGCATTCTATCTATCTCTCGATCTATTGTTTGCGCACTTTTTTATCTGTCCGACGAGTTAGGGTTAGGGCTGGGGGATTCCGTTCTATGCTTCGCGCCTCTTATTTAGTTTTATTGAGTTGTGATATGACATCCCTGATAAAACATTGGAATTTATAATGGGCGTTCAAAAAGCTCGTGATTTGCTTATCATGGGTATATTTTGTTTAGGATATATGATAGATTTATTAGACAAAAAGTCCCAGCTTCGCTTTTATCTGTGTTCTCTAGGTTTAATTTTTAGGTTGTAGTTATCAAGTTGAGCTTACTAGGATTGGTTTCATATTTTGATCCATTAAGAAAAAGTGATAAAATGGATTGTTCTGAATTTGGTTCTTTGCAGAGATTAGCTTTTGATGTACCCTAGTGGAACTGTGTCAAATTTGAATTTTGGTTTAACAACCTAAGATATGCTTATAATTCTTTACCCTTTTTGTATGCATTAGTAGTATTATAAATATAAACCTATAGTTGGAAAAATGCCTGGATGATAGTTAGGGGACTGTTTTATTCACTTTTTTTTGGAGTACAATGTTATCTGGATTGTGGTGCTATAGTCAGGACTGGCTCCGAGTCTTGTGTAGGAAGTAATCAATAAGCAAAAGAAGGGATGTTTTATCTCATAGTGAAAAGGGGCATCTCCTATTTTCTGGAATGGTTGCAAATGCTGTCTAATGATAATAAGGGGCTCTAATCTATTTTTTCTGTTTCTTATTTATTTATTTTTCCATCAACATAGCTTCTATATAGGTTTGGCCAATCTAGATAAGAGCTATCTTAATGATTCTTTGGTTCAATATTACCTTAATTTTAGTGTTTTTTGGGCGGCACTTTAATGTACAAGGTGCAATAAATTTTGGTTCATTGTTATAGTTTTGAAGATCTAGAATGATGGATGATCCTAGGATTTCTATTTTCTCAATTGGGTAACCAACCAAGATATCATTGTATGTAGGCGTTAGAAAATTTGGCTGATATATAAATTACAACATTCTTGAGTTGACTTAAATTTGGTATTGGAAACTCAGGATGCCAATTAACTAGAGAAGTGACAGCTGATATTGGAACAACTTATAACCCAAGATCTTGGAACCCTAACAACAAAATCTTACGTTGTCTGATGAACCTAACAAGAGGAGTCTTTTATTAAGAGTAGTTTACACCTTAGATCTCAGTTAACCAAACAGCCCATTGAAGTTGAAATGCAAGGATCGGTTGTTAACATGAAAGGAAATAACTCGGGCAAGGGATTCACAGAATGAATTTGTTATAACTGATTCCTGCATTAGTATTTGATAGTAGGAACATTATCTCACAGGCTTAATGTACATTTCCTATGGAAAAGAGATGCAACCTTATAATTAAGCATTCACATTAATGATTAAAGAGTTAGTAGACCCTTTTTCATGCCATTTGTTGTTATAAAGCTTTTTTATTGGTATATTGGAACAAGTTGTTGGAAAACGAGACTCTTTAAGAGATACTAAAAATGCTTCCCTATTTAGGGTTTAAAGAAAATCTGGATAGAAGTAATGTAAAATGGGATTTGAATGAGATTTTAGTTAGTTTAGGAGGGACATTGATGATGTAATTGTGTGTGTTTGGGAGGGTGGGATGTGGTTTGTGTTGGGTGAGAATTTTTAAGGGATACTGAAAATGCTTACAAGGTTTTTTAATGTTGATTTAACTTGTTCTTGTTGATTGAGAATTTAGTTGTGCCACTCTTGGATATTTAATATGTACGTTAGATTTTTTTTTTTTAATTTTGCAAAAAAGGTTATGCTTCATCAGTTAGGACTTTGAAGCCATTGGTTTCTATCAGAGAAGCGGCCTTTTAATGTTTTTTTTTTTTTTGCAAAAAAGATTATGCTCCATCGATTATGACATTGAAGTCGTTGTTTTCAATCAGAGAAGTGACCTGCTAATTTTTTTTTTCAATGCAATGGTAAGGTTATTACGTCAAACCCTCATTGGTAGAAGCCTCATGCATTGGATAGTTTATGTAAAATAATAGTGACGTTTAAAGTTTGATTTATCTTAAGAAGAAACATTGTTCCTTAAAAATATGATAATCGTTGGTGCTCAAAATAATGATGTAAGTGGGGCTGTAAAAAAAAGTTATACTATTTATAAATTCTCATGATAGCATTAGTAAATAATTTATTAAGATTTGACAAATAAAAAGGTTTTGTTTAAATGAATGCAATTTCTATTGAAAAAGTTGAATGAAGTTGGCATGAAAAAGTTCTTTTTGGCATGTTAATTAAGCAGTGGCTTCTCAAAGATGAGTTTTATGTTTCAATGCTTCACATAACCATGATGGTGATCATCATTTATTCAAACTTTGCCACGTTCATCCTGGTGAAATGAGCTTCCCTCTTTGTCTACCAAACGAATTTTTAGCTAAATTTAGCCAGACCTTTTCATTTATATTAAATGGGTTGGCTAAGTTGCTATGGTCAGAGAGAATTAATGATGCATAGACCATTTTACTAAGTGAAGATCTGATTAATAGTCCTATTTATTATTAATTTATTATTATTTTTATTTTCGAGGGGTTTACTAGAGCTAGAAAGGGAGGCAAGGCAACAACATCAACAATGTGGAGTCAACTATATGAATCCTTTTTCTCCATTGATCATGTTAAGAGTTGAATTCTCATTTTAATTTAATAAAAAATTTCATTTATAATATTTTCTTGCCATGTCTTTTTTAACTCTTCTCTTCCTTTCTTAACAAAGGCCAAATCTAATACATCTACTCTCCTAACTGGGTCATCGAAATGCCAATGTTTTATCCGTCCATACCATCTAATGCGACTCTCTCTAATCTTGTCTACACTAGAGCTACTCCAACCTTTTCACGTATATACTTGTTTTGCATTCTGTCTCTAAGAGTGAAGCCACTCATCCGCCTGAGCCCTCAGCTCAACAACACTTAATTTTATGCTTCTCTTTTAATTGCCATCATTTTGTTCCATAAAGCATTGTAGGTCTCACCACCATCTTATAGAAATTTCCCTTAAGTTTGAGGGGTACTTCTCTATCACACAACATGTCCGATGAATTCCTCAACTTTAACCATCCAACTTGAACTCTACTAATAATATCCCCATTTATTTCACCATCACTTTGAATAATAAACCCAAGATATCTAAAACATGTACTATTATTAATGACTTGATCCTCCAAAATCACAACCCCCCTTGTAGATCTATTACTACTAAAATTACACTCTATGTATTCGGCTTTAGATATAATCAAACAAAAACCTTTAGACTCTAAAGTTAACCTCCATAATTCAAGTTTTCCTTCAATTCCCTCACTAGTCTTATCAACAAGAAGAATATCATCAGCAAAATACATACACCAGGGTATATCTTCTTATAAATGTCTAGTAAGAACATGCATGACTGAAAGAAAAATATATGGGCTTAAAACTAATCTTTGATATAATCCAACTGAAATAGGAAAATACTTGGTCAAACCACCTTGTTTTTAAACAAAAATAAAACAAATATTGCAGACATATCCTTAATGACCTGAATATTAGCATTATTAACTCCTTTCTTTTGTAGAATCTCTAGAGCACTTCTCTTGGAACTTTATTATATGCTATCTTTAAATCGATAAATATCACATGTAGATCATCTTTATTCTCTCTATACTTCTCCATCAAACCTCTCAATAAATGTATAACTTCCATAGTAGACCTACCTGACATGAATCCAAATTGATTTTTAGAAACATTAGAATTAAATTGTTACCCATGCTCAATAACTCAAAAGGGAGGCAAGGAAAAAAGAAGATAAATGATGATGAGGACCTTAAAGATCATTTGATTTTATAGTTTTGGTGATGGTGGGGGAAGGGGGTGTGGTTTGAAATCATAAAATTATGTCTGCATACATTCATACTAAAATGGTGGGGAGAGTGATTATACATGACATGAGACAAAAGTAGGGGAGAGAGAAGGGATAAGATTATGTGATGTGAAAGCGAGATGGGAATAAGGGATGGAGTTAGCTAAGTTGGAAGATGTAGTGAGAATGATGGAGAATGTGTAGGGGCAGAGGAGGGGATTGATGAGTGGAGGGAGAGGAGGGATTAGGCAAATATTTTGATTGAAAGAGAGAGGGAGAGAGAGAGTGGAGCGAGGAGAGGGATAGAGGGGTTTGGGTGAATAGGAGTAGGGGGGAGAGAGACGGGGTATTGATTGAGTATGTGGAAGAGAGAAAGGGTGGGGGGGGGGAGGGAAGGCGCATATTTGTGAACATAGAATGACACACCATGATGCAAAGTTCTCCGTCCAGCTATGACGCATAGGGCATGGCATGGGCGTGCCATTTAAAACATGGCGCACAATATAAAATAATTTAAAAATAATATTAATATAAAATACAATTAAATATCAAACAATAGGTTAATTTGAACAAAATTTAATCATAAATATCCTTCCAAACAAGAAAAACGACAAGTTTAAATTCTACAAAAAACTTAAATCAATAGATTTAAACATAATTTAGCCTAAATCATGCCAAATAGTAAAAATGACAGTTTTAAATCTGTCAAAAAATTAAATCATTAAATTAATTAATAGTTAATTGTGATATTAGTATTTAAATCTAAAAAAAGTTAATTATAATTTAAAATTTAACATATTAATAAAATCACGTGCATTTTTTTGCGCATTGCACAATGCGCCATTGCCAATGTAGGGATCAAATAGCGCAGATAGCACACGCTAGTTTGATGTGCCATGCCGCACCAAGCATATAGCTTCGTATGTGTGCTGTTGACATGCATGGGAAGAAGCCGAAGAGAGGCTTACTGAAGGGGATGGGGAGGAAAGGAGGAAGGCAAAAGGGGGTTGGTGTGTGACCGGATTTATCAATGGAGAAAGAGAGAGGTTGGGTAAAGATTAAGTATGATTTGTCTAAGGATGATTGGACTGGTAACTATATGCCAACTATGAAAGGGTATGAGATGTGATGCTATATGTTTTCCTTTTAGTAAATTGCTTAAATACCCATACTTTTAAATTACAAAAAGCTCTTGAATATTATTTTGAGTGTTAAGGAAGAGATGTATTTCATTGTTAATTTTTTGGGAAAAAGATTATGCTTCGCCTTCTAAATTTAACATATTGGTTTTGCAGTTACTTCTTCCTGTCGCTGCTTGAGTATCTAGTGTGATGGCCAGCAATCCACAATCTTCTGGGCCACAGGTTGGTTTGCCATTTGCATATTTGGATTACCTACTCTCATAATTCTTGTTTATTATAGATACCGAAATATGTATAAGAATATGAGCTGAGGTGCCTTGGTAAGTTTCTCATATGTTTAAAATTTTTATTTGAAGCCTATAAGGCCTTCTGTCGTAGGATCTGCTGGTCCCCCTCCAAATTTTGGTCCTCCCATGCCTATGCAGGTTAGGCTTTTTCTGTGGAGTTTCAGGTACCTTGTTTATATTAATATCAATGATTTTTTCTAAAATCTGATTTTTTGATAATGCAGTTTAGAACTGTTGCTCCACCTCAACAAGCTCATCAGTTCAATCCGGTAGCTACCCAACAATTCAGGCCAACTGTGCAAGGCATGACTGGACCAAATGTTGGAATTTCTGGTCAAACTCAGGTATCCCACTTTTCTTAACCCTGATGAAAATTTTGACCTATCAGTTCAAGGTGCACCTTCGTTGCAGGCGATTCCTATGCCCTACATTCAACAAAATAGATCCATCACAGCTGGTGCGCAAAGCATGCAGTTGCCAAATAATATTGTGCCTAATATAGGTGGTGTCGGGATGCCTCTTTCTTCCTCGTACACGGTAATTTTACATATTTTACCTCATTTTATGTTTAATCAGAGAACATTCTTTTGTTATTTTGTTTTGAATGATTACATTTTTATTGTTTAGTTTGCAACATCTTATGGCCAACCGCTGAATACCATGAATGCCTCTTCACAGTATCAGCCAACGATCCACGTGCATGCACCTGTTGCACCTACTAGTGGACCATCTTGGGGTACATCAGGGACTCAAAGCTTATCTCCTTTAACGCCCTTGATGCACGCCACACAACAACCTATAATCATTGGTTCTGTAGCGGTGAGATTGTTTTTCAGCTTTTGCGTGTTCCTAGAAAATAAGATGTTTACTTGGGATCATTTTATTTTACCTTATTTTTGTTTATGTTCTTACTTGAAGTAAAAAAATGTTTGATATTCTTATTCTTTTATTGTTTTAAATACTAGAAGCCCATTTATTTCTTGTCCCATGAAGCCACATGTTTTGCCTAATGACAAGAGAGAGAGAAATTTCGAAACTACAAAACTGCTCTGGTTTGGAGTAGCAAAGGATTAGTTAATTGGGTAGTGGTGGATTTATTATGTTGAGTGGCAATCAGAGGCATGGATGGGAGGAAGGGGCGAGCTGGGAGTAGCCTTGAGGAAGGGGCGAGCTGGGAGTAGGGGAAGGCGGGAGTCTTTTAGAAAAAAATAGTTTTAAATTATAAAAAGCAGAAAGATCTTTTTATACTGTTTCAATTAACCAATAAAATTATCTAAAAGAAGAAAAACTACTTAAACGAAGTTCTCTTATTTTTTAGTTGTTTATTAAAAACAAAAAATAAAAGCAAGAAGTGATCCCAACCAAGTCCTAAATGTTAAATATGAATTTTTTCTAGGCCATATCATGCAATTTATACTGTAATGTTAATATTTTTTTTACAAATAACACAGGGTACAAATGTACAACCCGGTACGGCCGAGCAGGTAGCTTCTGATTGGCAAGAACATACTGCTGCAGATGGAAAAAGGTTCTTTGTGACAGATTTTTTTAGTTTTTCATTTGAACTTGAGGCACCCTAAACTACGTTAACTTTGTTATTCCTTTAATTAACCTTTTTTTTAATGATTCATAATATGTCCACCTTTGATTCCTGCCTTTCTCTTGAACGTCTTCATTTAGTTTTTACTGTTTTGTTTTATTAATTCTTCTGTCCAGATATTATTATAACAAAAAGACCAGGCAGTCTAGTTGGGCGAAACCTTTTGAACTCATGACGCCTACTGAGGTGAGTTATATTTTGGAATTATTGCATTGAAACTCTTTATTGTTTTCTTCATTTTGCTTCCATACAACTCAGTTCAGCTTGAGGAAAACAAACTGTTTTATGAGTATTTTCTGTTGATGTTGAGTATTGTAGCTGAATTTAAGTGAATCACCATTTTTCTATGATCAAGTCATGCCGTTTAATATTGTTTTATGCGGATCCTCTGTTTCTTTGCATGTTCGCCCACTGTCAAGTAGATGTCTTTTGGCCTATCTGGAGAGAAAAACGACTGTTCTATATGATCGTTTTGAAGGTGGTATCTCACTTTTCTCAAGACAGTTATTTTCTTTTATTTCATCATGATGGTCTTTAATCTGGCTTTGTAGTTAGCAATTTGGTAACCATAAAACTTATTTTATTTCATCTACATATTTCTTTTGTCCATCCCAAATTGCTAACTAAAACCAGAAGATATATGAGGTTAATCTTACTATTTATGAAGTTATGTCTACTATTTATTTTTAAATATAGGTTATCTAGATTAGTGAATGCGATGTTTTAAGAGGTAATGTACATATTAAGTGGAATAAAAATTAGTTTTGAGGGATAGTATATAGATTGAGTGGAAAAAATATTTATTGTTATTAGTAAAATAGTATGAATACAATTACATGAAGTGTACGTTGCTAGATTAATTTAAGAAAGAATATAATGAGTCAAAATCTATCGGCCAACTGAAAGAAACAAGTGCACGACACATTCTAAGGCTCTACTACCTGAATTAAACAACCAGGAATAAATTAATGTCTATATCAAATAGCTGTATTATGAGAAGCGAAGCCAATATTTATGTTTTGTTGTTCGAGCTATAGCGTTCAGTCTGGCCTCAAACTGGCCAAAATGTTTATACATTATAAATGCGTCTGTAGGATTGAAAAGTATGGAATGACATTAAAAAACTTATGCACTAAATCAAAAGCAAGAAAGCATGACTTATTATCCCACTACCCATGATGGCAGAGTACTACAAAATACAAATTACAATATGATGTATATGCAAGATTGAAAATTGTGGAATGGAATTAAAAAAAAAAAAACTTATGCACTAAATTAAAAGCAAGAAAGCATCATATATAACCCCACTACAAGTGATTGACTAAGTATTACAAAATACAAATTCCAATATAATGCTAATTCAAACAGTTTACATTCTTACAAAGATAATTAAGTTCAATCAAAACCAAAGAACCGTTGGCCATTCTGTGGTCATTAGCTATAGCCATGTCAAATTATTACATGGCTTTCCTTCCATAATCTTGATAGATTTTATTGATGGAAGGCTCAAACTAAGAGGAGGGATAAAGCATCAAAGGGAGGTTCAAGGATGGGGCTGTGTTGTAGATTAACATGCATTGAGGGAGGTTCTTGAGTGGTTTAAAAGAAGTGTTTGGAATTTGGAGTGTAAGTTTACTGATTGTAAGGCATAAAAATATATCAAAGGACCTTAGGTGTTGTACTCGTGTGGGAAATGGGGGTTGTGGTGATGGAGAAAAAGAAAGGATCACTTTAGAGGAGTGGCTTTTGCCATCATCATCATGGAAGGATGCCTCTTCAAAATTTTTGCTTTTATTTGACATGAACGAATGAAATGAATGTTGGAGATTTTAAGACAACAATATATGAAGGCCCTTTTAATAGTAATATAGATTTTTCAGAAAAAAGTTGAATGAAATATTTGCTTTGTAGAGCGTATTCTTGAAATTTTCTTTTGCATATCTTTAGTGCAAAAAAAATAATCAAGTTGAGCTTTCCTTGGTTAAAAGTGTCTTATATATTATGTCAACTTAAAAAAATTATAGAATGTAATATTTATGATTAATGAGTGTCTAGTGATAGGATGTGTTATAGTCTTCATGTCAAACATTATCTTAACTATTTTTGGTTGGTTGATGAATCCTTCTTTGTCATTCATTCTTGCTGAATGATTTATGTGATGTTAATTTTAGTTTCTTTTCAACCTAGTATTCAGTACTCGCTGGTCTGTTATGTGTAGTATGGTATTGGATGTCTCGTCTTTAGATGCTAACGATTTTTTTTTTGTTTTACCAAGCAATCTAAAGATAACTACAATGCAGGAATGCTAGGAAATATATAAAAATAGTGGTTAATCCTTGATTTCAAGCTTGCTAAAAAATTTGTTTGCTGATGATATTACGTTGCTTTCTAGTGAGCTTTTTCTATATCTTATTAAATACAGATTTTATGATTAAAGAGGTGTAATTGTTGCTGTTTTTCTTACTATTGTACTAATTGTTTGATTTGCTTTTCCTAATACAAGTTAATTTGTTCTGATCTTTATTGTTGTGCTTTGTTTATATTACCTTAAACTTTAAAATTTTAATGACTGTTCTAACCGAGCGTGCAGACTGATACTATTGTTTGAATAATATCTATTATAATATGAAAATGAATTCCTTTTGATCCTAGCATCCACAACATATGAAGCTGCTAGATATTCTATGTCAGAATAATGAAATACTTAGCTATTGCTGGCTATGCTCGTGCTTGAAGATTCATCAGTTTTTCTTTTTAATGTAAAATATTGTGTTGTATGACAGGCTTCAGTGTCACATTTATGTGCTAGAATATGCAGTTAATCTTGATTACATGGGCAGTCTTGCATTTCTGCGGATATGTTACTGAGCTTCATGTGCTCTATCACTAAAAATATTAAACTGCAGAATGTTTTTATTGTTTCTGGTTCTCATTCTCAAAATTTTTTTAAGCAATACCATTTGATCTTGTTATTCCCCACCTCTCTTGAGCGTAACCAAGTTCTGTTGCTCATTTTCTTTTCATACTGAATATTTGCTCTAACTTTGAGGCTCATCTGATTCCATTATCTGTTTTTAGAGGGCAGATGCGTCGACTGAGTGGAAAGAATTCCAGACTCCAGACGGTCGGAAGTATGGATATGCTTTTTCTTGTTTATCCTTTTATATTCCATTCAGTGAAGAAATGTTTATTTTTTAGTAACATGCTTTACTTTCTGTTAAATGTCTATAATCTGTTTCACCTTGTCAATGCTTTGCAGATATTACTATAACAAAGTGACAAAGCAATCAAAATGGTCAATTCCTGAAGAGCTCAAGGTGTTTTTTTTGTAAAGATTATTTTCAACTTTTGTATTCTTTTTAAATGGCCAGAATGTTTATAATTAGATAGTAAAAATAAATTTACCATTTGCATTAACAAAGGTGTAGGCTATTATCCCAATCATGTTTAAGGTAATTAAACTGATAGTTTTGGTGATGGCATACCTGCAATTTGTCTGGCAAAGAGGGCATGTACTATGGTTAAGGAAATGGAACTTGGAATTTAAATGATGATTTACTTGCAAAGAGGGTAGTGTAGCGAGGATGGCCATTGCAAGTATAAAAGTTGGCTAAATCAACCATATTTGGAGTTTATAGGGAGGCTTTTATGGAAGGGTTTAGAAAGCTGAAGCAGTAGTGAAGCGGCTCTTATATGCTATTGTGATGTGATTATTGTTTATTAATTTATTATGTAGTTTTTTCTGTAAACTTGCAGTTAGCCCGTGAGCAGGCTGAGAAGGCAGGGAATCAGCCAGCCTCTGCTGAACCTGTAGTTGCTTCTATTGCCCCAGCAGCTCAGAGTGCTGTTGTTGAGATTCCTTCTTCAACAGCTCTAAATGATTCAACTCCCCCAGCAACAAGTGCAGTGGCAAGTCCAGTTTCAGCCCCAGTTTCAAATCAGGCTGCTTCATTGGCTTCAGGATCATCATCTGTTGTTGATGCACCTGCTGGAATAGCTTCCAGTTCTTCCGTGGGAATTGCAGTTCCTGTGTCTGTTTCAGACCTTAACATCCCTGCTGCCTCAGTGATGGCTTCTGTTTCTGGAAGCTCAGAGATTGTTACTGCGGCAGCAGACATCATACTTGGGAGTACAAAGTAAGAACACTTTGATATGCTTTTGATGCTATGCCTTTTTCTCTTAAATTTTCACATGCCTATATATAAATATAAATGTGCTTAGATTCACATGCCTGACTATATGCGTAACTTGACTGGAGGAGCTATCCGCACAATTATTTGGTAATATATGCCATTAAATATTCTCATGTTTATGCATGAGATTTCCACTGTTGTGTATAATAAATGATAGAAAGTACAACCACATTTAGGGTATGGGGATTATAAAAGAAGAAGGGGTAGACGTAAAGTGGATGTATAAGAAGTTCTAAATGATTATTGAAGACTTTGTTTAATATCTTGGGCAGAACTCTTTTCTTAACATGCATTTTATGCATTTATCTATTTTGATATGCTTGTTCTTGTAGCACTCTACTTCTATTTGTCCATGCATATGAGTATTTATGTAATTATGCATCTGCTAGTCATACTATTTCGTTGCATTCTCTCCATCTGTATGTTGGGGCTGCCTGTTATAATGCGTCACGTCATTCTTATTGTATATATTAGTATGTATCATGCCCATTTGCTGGCTTTGTTTTTACGACCATTTAGGTACATTTATGGGTGTCAGTTTGTTCTATCCATTTGAATATTCTTTCTGGAAAAGGTGTCTGTTCTTGTGTTTCTAGTGTGTGCATTTGCATATTTGCTTTTTTTGGGGGTGGGGGTGTTGGAGTGGGAAGTGATTCATGGGTTTGAAAATGCAACAAGTCTTGACATTGTGCTGTATACATATGTGTGTTTGACATGGTTTGTTTGGATTCATCTCTGCCAAATGTTCTTATGCAACACTTTGTATGATGCTTCTTTTATAAGATTTTACTTGCAGGCTGGGTAATTTTGAAATTTTCATATTTACAGGAGTAGTAATGAGGATTCATCTCTACCAAATGTTGTAAATACAACTGATGGAGCATCTGCTCAGGACCTGGAGGTAATTTTACTTGATGCATAATCTCTATGAGCCTTAAATTATTTGTAGCTTGCTACACTCTAACTTACGTACTTAGGTTGTTATTTATAAAATCTCGGCCTTACCAAAAAAATAGGAAGGTGAAGACAAATAATTTACTTGCTTGGTGAATGCTCCTGGCTGATTAATTGGATAGAATGATTTTGTTTTGGTTTTTTATTTTTTTTGGTTCTTTAGCTGTCCTTTTGATGTAGAACGAAAAACGGCTTTGCTAGGAAGAGGACCACCTCTCCAAAATCTGAAGGAAATTTGGTCTTCTTTGCCCAAAACCTGAAAAGAATCTCAGATTTCCAGAAAATCTGAGAGAGAATTCTCAGATTTTAGTGGTTGGGAATTTCATGGGGATGAAGAAAGAACTCTCCGGCTGTCTCGCTAAAGGTCTCGAACGCGTCGAAGAGGAAGAAGTTTCTCTTGTATGGAAGATGGAAGAAACTCCAAGTACCTTCTAACCAAAATCTGGATGGTCCTTCAGAAAATCTGAAAGATTTCAGCTTTTCTCTCAGAAATATGAGAAGAAATTTCTCTCCCTGTGCTGGGAAAAGGGATTAGAGGTAGCACACGTTATGGAAGTAATCCACATGTGAAACCAAGGTGGAGAGGAGGTATGAGAGGGAGGGAAGATATGGGGGGCAGAGGGGGAAGGCCGGCGGGATTGAGGAGGCGTGGGATCTATTTCCTAAATTCAAGCTCTGATTTCTGGACATAAATTAGAGCTTAGTTATTAGGAAAAATTTCAGCCAATAGGGACATAAGGATTTGAAATTCTTTCGTAAAGGCTGGGTTTAGATTTAGGCAATACTTAATTGAGCATTGATGGGCTAGGGAAGAGGGGCCGGCGGCATTATCAGGTGGATGGGGTTTTGGGTGCCATGTGTCCAAACTTGCTTAAAATGGTTTTAAACTTAGGAAATTATTTAAGTAACTCTATTTGAATTTGAAATTCAATAAGAAGTCATTTAAAACTTTCCAAAAATGGAATGGCAAATTAGGAAAGATTTCAAATTTCAATTAGTTGGATTTGAATTTTGAAAACCGCCCAAAATTAAATCACCCAAATTAAATTTGAATTACATCATGAATAAGATTCAATACTTTCCTAAAATGGCTTTCTAATTTAGGAAACTATTTGAAATTCAAAATTTGAATTTCAAAGGATGAAAATAATTTCCTAAATTATTTGAACTATTTAGGTAAGCTTTAAGATGACATTGACTCCTCATTCATGGAGACAAACAAGGGTGGCCGGCGGTGGAGGAGCAAATGGGGAAAGGTGGCCGGCGGCCAAGAGGGGGTGGGATCGGGGAAGGTGGTCGGCAGCTATGGGAAAAATTTGTGGAATTTCGGGTGGAGGTGAATCCAGTGGTCAAACGAAGATGGGGAGGAGGAAGACGATGAAAAAACAATTAAAAAAGAGATAAAACAAAAACAAAGATTGAAACAAACGATAAAGAGAAAATAAAAACCGCGAGCCTCGGACTCTTCCGAAGACTGACGGGTGATCCGATTGCCCTTCTCCAAGGGACTTCAAATCACGAGCCCGGACCCATCCTGCGGATGGTGACAACTTCGATTCCACCCATAGGAATCTCACAAACGCTCTCTCACAAGAAGAGCACAAGTGTGGAAAAACACAAAAATTTCATATTCATTAACCCCCCATTACAATAGATTAAGGCCTTATATATAGGCCATAACATGAGAAAATCAAAATTACAAAAATGCCCCTTGGGCCAAGACACTCACATAAACTATCCTAGGGGTAAAATAGGAAAATACATAAAACAAGAGCTAAAATTCAGAAAATAATACATAAATGAAAATTTAAATAATGCCCGTCGATTTACGACGCCGCCTGTGATAGATGCGCCAAATCTTTGTATCGATGTCCGCATCACCTTTGTTCAAGATATGACTACGTACCATGTTTTGGTATCCTTATGTAAGAGTGTAATCGTGTTGGATGCTAATTTCAACTGCTTTCTCCTTTTTTGGTGCTTGCTCAATGAATTTCAGTTGCTTGCATATTTTGGACTTTCATTGTTGGATTGCCTCTACTGCTGCCACTACATCCATGCAAACAACTGTTTGGATTTGAATTTTGATTGACAATCTGGATCTTTATTCAAATTAATATTTTGCCGTGCTGCATGGTCAAGATTGAGTTAGGAAGTTGTTTTCTTGGAGACGTAATTTGATCATAATTTATAAACATAGTTCATGTAATCCCTGTTCAGTGGATCATAAGGATTGATCGAAGTGAAGCTGTATCATAGGTACCTAAACATTTTAAAAAATTTATACTGAAAACTAGTTATTTACTTTTTGTTGCTTTAAAATAAAATTGATAACATTTGTTTGCTTTTTTATGTTGAATATGTTTAGCCTCAATCCAGTCAGCTTTAATGACCTCAATTGGATAAGTTACTCTAAAATATAATAATTATATATTTTTATATTTATGTCAATTTACTTAGAATATGTTAATCCCATAGGTGAATTGTATGTTTTTTTTTGTTTTATAAGCGTATTGGTTTTTAACCAAGCAATTTCTGAGTATGTTGGATATGCAAAAAAGAAACATGGAAGTTACATTGGATTAAAAACATGCAACTGAAGGGACAATGGGCTATCTGAGTTTTTAGTCTTTCAGACTGAAGCTTGGCTCTTGTGTATGGAGTTCAGAATGCCTCTCAATGGATTGTGTCATATAATTTTAATTGTACATTCATATAGATGCGTGGTTATTGTTATTGTTTTTGTCACTTCTCACCATTTAAGTAGCTGTTAATAAAAGATGAATAAATGTCCTGCTTTCTTGTACATATTTTTTATTTCGTTTGATAAACGCTGCTCATATGAATGTACTTTATTTTCAGAATTATATATATTTTTACTTCCATGGCTCACATTTAACAGATTTTATTTATTGCTTAGAGTTCCACTTTTAATTGAGTGATGTGTTGTGTGTTCTACTCTGGGAATTTCTTTTCTGATACCTGAACGTTTAAAAGAGTGTTATGTGCTATGTTACTGGTGTGGGATGGGGGGTGGGGGGTGGGGGGGTGTTCATTTGGTAGCTAAAAGAGTATTTGGGTTTGTAGCAATGCATGCAGAAAATGGGCTGCCGTAGAAGAAATCTTTTTCATTTATGATTTCTAATCCTTATAATAGGGATATGGGTTTACTGAAGTAGTGAAATTGGAAAATTGCCCTGAAAGGACTACATTCATGTAATTTTGTATTATCAAAAAATCAATGTCATCGATTCTTAGTTTTCTATAGACTTCTTCATCCCAAGATTCTGAAGGAATTTATAATTGGTGACGAGATTGCCATATTTTTTTGTGATGTTGTTTTGAGCCCGCTGTAGCATTTTTATTATTAAATATCTGCTCTCATAAATTTGGTTTTAAGAATAAACTAGGTAAGTTCTGGAACTAGTCTTAGGAGTTGGTTATGCGTGCTGTTTGTTCTCTTTGATTTTGTATCATTACTCTTGTTGGGAAGGTTTAAGAATCAATTGTTTTCCTACCAAGAATATATTTTTGTTTTAATCATAATTTGATTTGCCTTTGTTAGGAAGCAAAAAGGGGCATGCCTACTGCTGGGAAAATAAATATTACTCCCTTGGAAGAAAAATCAGTTGATGAGGAGCCTTTGGTTTATGCTAATAAGCAGGTGTGGCGTTTTGTCTTGATCCGTTTTCATGGGCTTCCCTCATATTATGATCAATATTAATTCACAACAGCATATTGTTGCAGGAGGCTAAAAATGCCTTTAAATCACTGCTTGAATCTGCCAATGTTGAATCTGATTGGACTTGGGAACAGGTTTTTTTCTATCAGCAATATTTATTGTAATTTTTGTATCGCCAGTTGTGTTGATGCAAATATTTTAAGTGAATTATAGGCTATGAGAGTCATCATAAATGACAAAAGATACGGTGCTCTAAAGACCCTGGGGGAGAGGAAACAAGCGTTTAATGAGGTGTGTTTTATGACATTGTTTTGATTTGTTATAGTACTTGGGAATTTGTTAGTTTCTTGATTAGTTACTGAAAATAACTTATCTTGATTTCTGTGCCATCTTGGATTTAATCCTTTTTTTTTTAATTTATGCAAGTATTTGGGCCAAAGGAAGAAACAAGATGCTGAGGAGAAGCGTAATAGGCAGAAAAAAGTTCGCGAGGATTTTACAAAAATGTTAGAGGTACAGTAATTTATGCTTAGAGAGACTGAACTATTTGCTGTTTCTATGCTAAGTTAATTTTGTTTTTAGGAATGCAATGAACTCACTTCATCCATGAAATGGAGGTATGAATGATAATTCTTTGCCTATTTAAGGATTCTACAGTAAATCTTGCCATAACTTCAATTCTCTTCTTGCTAAAAGCTCTCCTTTGTATGTGTCACTTTGATTTTATTAACCTATTTGATTGAATTCATCTTTTATGTTGACCCTTAATGCAGCAAAGCTATAACCATGTTTGAAAATGATGAGCGGTTCAGCGCTGTTGACCGGCCTAGAGATCGTGAAGATCTTTTTGAGATCTACCTCGTTGAACTTCAGAAGAAGGTTTAGTTTTATTAGTTTAGATGTCTGCATAAGCAAAATGTTTTTATATTCTATTCTCTCTCTCTTTTTTTTTTTAATTATGATGAATTTTTTTGTTGCCACCGAGAGACTTGTATTTCATTGCCCTTTGAAATAATATTTTTTGTTGCAAATCATAATACCTTGTAATTTTGGCGGCATACATTTTATATAAGCATTTTGCATTGTTTCTTATGCTATGTTATTGTTTTGTTCTTTCCAGTCGTGTTGAATATCTTCTGGTATGGGGGTACCTTAATTCTGTCAGTATATTTTTGGAGTTATGCCATTGTTGATGTAAAATTTTGAATTCCCATCTAATTATTCTTGAAGTAGCTTCTGTAATGTGTGGTTAGAAATTGCACTAGTCTAGAATTATGCAGCATGTGGCTTGTGTTTCTGGGTTAGGCGCAGCAGTCAATTGTAGTTTTGTTGCAGGTCCTCTGCATTCTCATGTTCTGTACCATATTGGTCACTATCCGTTGACTAAAGCTGTGCTATTTTATGGTGGCTTAACAAAATTCAAAGCGGCTGCAGGGAATGTGGGTCTTAGAGATTGGAAGGGGAATTGAACAAATGGGAATATGGGATGAAGACAAAGAAGGGCAAGACTTATTGCACGGCTTAGTCCTTTATTTATAATAGTTTCTCAACTATATATGCATTTTCCATTCTTATGTCTGTAACCTTATTTTTAACCTCTTGAGACTTAACTGACGATTTGAATTAGATATGGCTCACTCTTTTGATCTTTCCCATATTTTCACCAGTTCCATTTTTGTACAGCATTCTTTCTTTGTTTTTTGTGTGTTTTTTCTAGGGAATTACTTGATGTGTCATATGTTTGTTATTATTTTATATTTGAGAGCAATCATATGTGATTGCTTGCTACGCATACTCGCATTAGAACTATCTACTAGTCTGCCATATCTCACGCGGTTGGGCGGACCTCCAAGTAACCTCAATATAATATTTTTTATTGATGTTTTTGTGTACTTTATAAACTTATAATCTGAGATTGCTTTTACTGCTAAATTAAGATTCTTTGTTCCACCCAATTATTTATCCTTGTCCCATAGTTGTTTGAGTAAATTTCATTCCAAGAATTTTATCCATGCTTCTCCTGAGACTTTATAACGTTAAGATAGCTCTTCTAAACATTTAATCTTATTCAGAGCAATGGTAACCGCCGACTCTAATACGTTGTATCAATTTTCTACCTCTTTCTTTTCTGCTACATATTTTTCATATGCTATAATATCTAATTTGATGGCTTTTCTGGTGTACGATACAGGAAAGAGCAAAGGCAGCTGATGATCATAAACATAATATAATTGAATATAGAGCTTTTCTGGAATCTTGTGACTTTATCAAGGTTTTGCAAATAACTTTTCTCGCTTACTTTGTTAATCGTGATAACGTTAGATAATGTTTTACCTTTTTTTCCTATATATTTAGGCAACTACCCAATGGAGGAAAGTGCAGGATCGGTTGGAGGATGATGAAAGATGTTCTCGACTAGAAAAAATTGACCGTCTTGAGATTTTTCAGGTGAGTCACCCTCACCTTATTTTTCTGCTTTTTGGGTTCTTCACTTAACAGTATTGCGTTGCAGGAGTACATTCAAGATCTAGAGAAGGAAGAAGAGGAGCAAAAGAAGATACATAGGGTTCTTTCGATCTCTTGTCACCATAATTTATATGTTTTTCTATGATATAAAAAGTCTTACAATAGTATTTATAGGAGCAATTACGGCGCCAAGAGCGAAAAAATCGTGATGCATTCCGCAAGTTGATGGAAGGTGACATTGCTGCTGGCATTCTTACAGCTAAGACACACTGGCGTGATTATTGTATGAAGGTATTTTGGTTTATTTTTAAATGTATTATTGTTATTTTAGGCTGTTTAATTATTTTTTTGATGCCTTTTCTTTGCATTAAGGTCAAGGATTCCTCATCATACCTGGCAGTAGCATCAAACACTGCTGGCTCAACACCAAAAGATCTATTTGAAGATGTTGCAGAGGAGCTTGACAAGCAGGTAATGTTTTGCATTTTACTGGGAAACATTACTTTATTTTCTTTTTTCTTAAATGGAGTGGATTGTGCACGAGTTTTCTGCCAATTTATTGTTGTAAGGTTTATGGCACGCAACTTGCCCCTGCTTGATAGGGCAAATTATTGGGTCAGGTGACCGGACGCGGAGATAGGTTCGGATATTAATAAAATATTATTTTAAATTAAGCGCATGTAAAGCGCAAGTAAAGCACAGGTAAAACGCAACTAAAAAAGCGCAAATAAAGCGCAAGTCAAAAGCGCAGTCAAAAGCGCAGGTGACGCGGCAAATTTTTATTGGATGTCCGAACTTATTTTTCGCGTCCGGTCACCTGACCCAATAATTTGCCACTTGGTAGAGAGGGTGCTTCTAGTTTTAAAAACTATGTAGTATTATTTTCATGAGGACTTTAGTGCGTATTGATTGCAAATTATTGAATTTTACATCCTAAAATTCTGAGATATTCAATTAAAAAGATTAACAAGAATTGCTTATATAGGAAGATGGAGACTTAATTACCTGTTCATTTTGGGTTAACTCATTAAGTATTCTCTTGTTGAAAGCCCAAATTTGTTGAGCGTAAGTGCAGCTTTAATTGAGACACTAGATTACTTTTGGCATCCTGACAGTCTAATTCTGGCTTAATTATGTTTTTCAGTTATGTTGGCTTAATTAAGTTCATCTGCTTTCTATTAATATGCTCCCCGAAATGTAACCAACTTTATGCAAAATTATTAAGTGATTCTTTAAAAAAGGTTATTAGAAGAAAAAATATTAAATCTTTATTGAGCTACTTGTTAAACAAGAAAAAAAGAAAAGCATTTTGTTTTGATAAGTAAGCTGGTTTCTGTTGAGCCTGTTTATCAATTTATTAAGCTTCAGAGATTATGTAGTTTGTGCAAATTGCTATGTATGTGACAATGAGCATGTTATATTCAAACGAGTATCAAAATGTTCATTGTCAACATTAGTTGGGATAAACCCTAAATGGTATATTTTTTGCAATGTTTTTTGTAATATAAATTCATGATATTTTCTTATTTATCATGACATGTTTGGCATAGAAGGTTTCATGTTTACTCAGGCACTTGATAATTGCAATTCAATTGTTGTGTCTTGCTAGTAATATTGTTGGATGTTTTAGTTCAGGGGTTTTAATTAGGAGTGTCAATATTTGACATAACCCGAAAACCGACTCGAACCGACCAGAAAATTTGTGTTAGGGTCAACCCAAACCTGAAACAGGTCGGGTTCGGGTTCAACAATTTGACCCGTTTAAAAAATTGGGTCATGTTCGGGTTAACCCTTTGACCCGAAATTGACACTATTTTGACCCGAAAACCCGTTTTGACCCATAAACCTGAGATTGATCAGTTTTCAACCTGTTTTGACCCGAAAAATGGAGTTTGACCCATATTTTGACCCCAAACTAGCAATTTTTTCAGGGCCCAGGTCATTCGAGTTGTGTCTGGTTGACCCGGACCCGAAGCGGGTAGAGTTTGGGCCCGAAAAATCGACCCGTTTGCCAAAACGAGTCGGGTTCGGGTTGACCCGAATAGTGTCGGGTCAATTTCGGGTTTTACCTGAACCCGACCCGTGAACCAAAATTGACACCCTAGTTCTAATGCAAATCTATTATGAGATGCAAAAGATTATGCAATGTGCACATTTATTTTACCGGTCACAAATTGTGTAGCTTTAACAGTGCTTTAACTGTTATTTGTTACTTTTGATAACAATAAAAGATATTATAAAAATCAATTCAAACAAAAATATCATGTCTTTGTACTAGAAATAATGGAGAATTTGACTCTAAACATGATATAATAGAGAAAAAAGATTCATATAGTTGACCGCACAAAGTGGAATAAAGGTTTGATGTTATTGTTGTTGCTATTTGTACTAAAAATAATGCTTGTAAATTCATAATTAAGGAAGCCATGAAAGAAGTTTAAGATCAAATTGTATGAATTTTAAGTAAAATTAATCACTCTATCAGTCCAATAACAAAAGTTAAAAAAAAGGTAACAGTTTACCAAATTTAATTTTCATACTTGTACAAGGTAATAACCTCTTAAAAATTTTCTCACTTGATCATATAGCTGTCTCCCAAAAGTAGAAATATTTGCATCTAATGGAATTTTGTTGAAAATTAAATTTATTGAGTTTTATACATGCTTAAGGCCAATGTTTATAATTAATAAGTCTAATTGAAAATTATTGGTTCATATCTTCCTATATTTTTTTCCTTAACAGCCAATTCTAAGGAAAAAAAAATGCAAAATAGATTACTAGCATCATGCAAATGAAGGAAGTAGGCAATCAATCATAGGTATTGCCAATAAGATTGCTGAGTCCTGCAAATAGTGACAAAATAACAGCAACAACTCATTAAAGATGTAAGATATGGAAGGTCTACAATCTACATTAGTATAGGAAGATATGAACCAATAATCAAATGGATACTATACCAACCCGACTATCTTAAAGAGAGGTCACTACAGAACCAACGATCATAATAGGGGCCACAAAAGGAACGAAGGAGGTCACAAAATCTATGGACCATAAAGAGCCATATGAGGAAGCCGCTGAGGAATTTGTAGGCGAGGCATTGATATGAAGTCATGATGGAGGATCTGCTTCAATTTGCTCGACTTGGTAAAATTTGCTCCAATGAATTATTTTGTTTGTATGTGTCAAGCAAATCTGGGCATTATAGCTGCACTTTTTTAGAGAAATCAACCATTCATTCACATTTTACTTCCCACAAACCACATTTTGTATTTTGAGCACTTGCTTTCTTTTATTTTAGATACTTCAATTAGTTTGTACTTCAATTAGATAAACCCGAACCAGTGATTGATGTAGTGTAGATATCAAATTATGAGTCGGCACTGTACTTCACCCCGAAAAGCCCTCCCACTGGGCACTATCTTTTTAATTCATCCTGTTTTCACAATAATTTATATATTTTCTCTAATAACGTGGGTTTTATGTCTTGATTTCTCTTACGGTTTTTATGGTGCACTGGCAATATTAAAAGGTTAGATGTTCAATCTAATGAATTAACTACCTTGTTACTTCCTTTTTGTTATATTGACAGTTTCATGATGACAAGGCACTAATCAAAGAGGCTATGAAGACTGGAAAAGTAACGTTGTGACAGTCGGTTTTTTTATTAATTTCGGCTTTAATTGGAGAAGGTTATAATGGTGATAACCTTCAAATTATGCAGATTACTTTGACATCAGCATGGACATTTGATAAGCTGAAGGCTTCAATATCTGAGAACGATATGTTGAAAGGATTATCTGAGATCAACTTAAAGGTTACTCTGCATTCCTTTTTTCTCTTTTATACCTTTGGCATGCAATTAGCTTAGTTACCATGTACTTTTCTGTTATGTTTGAGACATGCCACTGAATGAGGATGCTTGTGTCTTGCATTGCTTTACTTGTGTCTAGCGTTGCTTTGCACGCCTTTCATATTCTTTCTTGCTAGGATATTGTCGAACTTCTACTACGATGGATTCATTTTCATACCTTTTGTTAGTTTTATGAAGTAGAGGCATCAAAAATTGAAATAAATATTCATAATATTAAAATACGGACTTTGGTGTGGAGAGGTGGATATTAGCAGTAATGTCTAGAAATGCCAAGACGCTACCACAGTTTCACCTGGTCCATTTTTTGCCATCATGGTTTGGGCCTCACATGTGGACCTTACGCTACAACTGACAATGTTACCTATGTAGACTTATTTCTTTCTTATTTATGATGACTGTATTAAGATTATATGCATTATGTGTCTATGTACGGTGTATAATTGTATTAAGGTAATTGAAAATAAATTGGTGCTTACATATAAGAAAATGCAAGTGATAAAAAATAGGAGGAAAAATATCCTAATTTAAGAGATTATATTATAGAATAATGATAGCATATTTAATAAGTATAACTTTCAATAAAACCTTTATATTAACATCCCCTCAAACTGAGTTCATATATTTTGAAGATTCAATTTGTTGCAAAAGTTGGAGAAATGAATTGGTCTCAAAGATTTTGCAAAAATTTCTCTCAATTGCTCTTCGTTGGAGATATGAGGAATGTGATAGGAAGTAGATGTAATTTCTCCAAATCACCAAACCGCAAGATGAATTTGGAAAGAAGAATACACCACAAATTATTTATTGAAAGAAAATAGCAAGATACAGTTGGATCTTCAATTGAAGAGGAAGATCTAACTCTCCCTAATCCCTAGCTGCCTGCTAGAGCCCTCACAACCTAAGAAGACCTAAATTCAGCAAATTCAAGTTCCCCCTTCAATCTAAGCACATATATTATGAAGATTCAATTTGTTGCAAAAGTTGGAGAAATGAATTGTTCCCAAAGATTTTGCAAAAATTCCTCTCAATTGTTCTTCGTTCAGGACATGAGGAATGTGATAGGAAGTAGATGTAATTTCTCCAAATCAATGAATCGCAAGATTAATTTGGGAAGAAGAACATACCACAAAATTTTTTATTATAAGAAATATGAAAGAAAATAGCAAGATACAGTTGGATCTTTAATTGGAGAGGAAGATCCAATTCTCCCAAATCTCTAGCCATCGACCAGAGCCCTCACAATTGTTCTTCGTTCGGGACATGAGGAATGTGATAGGAAGTAGATGTAATTTCTCCAAATCAGTGATTTGCAAAATGAATTTGGGAAGAAGAACATACCACAAAATTTTTTATTATAAGAAATATGAAAGAAATAGCAAGATACAGTTGGATCTTTAATTGGAGAGGAAGATCCAATTCTCCCAAATCTCTAGCCATCGACCGGAGCCCTCACAACTTAAGAAAATCTAAATTCAGCAAATACAAGTAAACACGCCCCCCACCTATGGAAGTCATACATAGGTGGGGGGGTCTACTATGGATTCATGCCAGGTAGGTCTACTATGGAAGTCATACATTTATTGTGAGGTTTGATGGAGAAGTATAGAGAGAATAAGAAGGATCTACATATGATATTTATTGATTTAGAGAAAGCATATGATAAAGTTCTAAGAGAAGTGCTATGGAGAGTTCTAAAAACGAATGGGGTTAATAATGCTTATATCCAAGTCATTAGGGATATGTATGCTGGAGCTTTTAGTTGTGTTTAAACACAAGATGGTTTGACCAAGTCTTTTGCAATTTCAGTTGGATTACATCAAGGAACCGCCTTAAGCCCATATCTTTTTGCTTTAGTTATGGATGTTCTTACTGGGGATTTGCAAGAAGATGTTCCTTGGTGTATGCTTTTTGTTGATGATATTCTTCTTGTTGATAAGACTAAAGAGAGAGTTGAAGTTAAACTTGAACTATGGAGGTCAACCTTAGAGTGTAAATATTTTCTTTTGGGTAGATCTAAAACCGAATACATGGAGTATAATTTTAATAATAATAGATCTAGTGGATGTTTTGTGACTTTGTGCGATCAAGTCATTAATAAGAGTATATGATGCAACCTGTTTCTAAATATTTGATGGAGAACATTTAGGAAATCAATTAGAAAACTTCTTCCTTGTAGTAAAGCAGAAACATTCTAAAAATAGAAATAAGTTCTTGAAACAGCTTATAAAATCCGTAAACATAAAGAAACAACAATAAGGCTACCCTCATAACAACCGACAAGCGATCACCTCGCATGCAAAGCTTGAAATATAAAGGATAGGCGCTCAAAGGATAGATCTAACCCGTAATCTACCACTTAAATGATCCAGCACAAGTCCACACTCCAGCAAATACCAACCAAAATATGGCAGCAAACACCACCAAGCTCACAAGAGAAGAAGGATACAAATGGGGCGAGAACCGTGGATAGAGAAGAAGAGGTAGAAGACTAAGATGAAGTAATAGAGGGGAAGGGGAAAGGAGGCTAGCTCGCAAGCTAAAAAATCCACATATTTTTATGCTAATTCTTTTCCAAAACTCCTCTAACTGCAAGAAAACAACCACTATATATAGGGGGAAAAAGAAAAAAAAAGCATTTAATGCAAGCTAATTAAAGCACCATCCAAACAACCGCTAAAATTCCCTTGAAAACCACAACAAATAGGGACCAAAGGGACAGTAGCTAGGGGGAAAACGCATTAATACAATATTTAATGGGCACAAAAACCGAAAGGACAACTGCCCAAACCGAGGGGACAATAGCTAGGGGAAAACAAGTGATGCAAGCACACTAGTTAGAAAAGCCAAATAAGGAGAACGATGGGCAAAACTATAACCAAACTCGATTCAAATAGTAGCAATCATCTGTTAGCACAAAAACCGACGGATAAAAACTAGAAGAGAGATCAAAAGAAAAAAAAAAATCGCTATCCTCAGAACAACCGACAGAACGGTTTTCTCACATGCATCGAAATGTTGGTTAAGTAAAGTATGTGCTTAGGGTTAGCAAACCGATGGTCCACCACAACAAGAAGGTTCAAATGTCCAACCAAACTCCTCCAGCAAATGCTCCCAAATCAGCCAACAAACACCTCCAAAGCTCAAGAAGAAGGATACAAATGGAGTGGAACTTGCGTAGAGAAGAAAGAGGTAAGAAGCCTAGACGAAATGAAGGAGAAGAAGAAGTGGACAAAGCTCTCAAGCTTTTCCATGAAGAAGAAAACCCTCAGGTTTTTAAAGAGACAATGCTCAACAATTTTCAACAACCTTTCCTCTCAAAATACATCTTCAATATATAGGCAAGAGAGTGGAACTCAACAGTCATAGCACCACCAAATAAGCCAATTAGATTTAGGGAAATGAAAGGCCAACAACCACAATAACAATTCCCAAACAGCTCAGCAAAACAGAGAAGAGAACTCACGGGAACCAAGGCGAGGACCGCAGAACCGAGCAGCACAGCACGGAACCAAGCAACCAGCCGCAGAATCGAACAGCCGACCATTGGAACCAAAGAGGCAAAGGCACGGGAAATCGCCCAACACAGCCAGCCACGGGAACCCAAGGGACAAAGGCACGGGATTTTACCCAGCACAGGGAAGTGAGAAGAAAAAGGGTAGGAGAAGAGACAAGTCCACTCCAAATTGAACCCAAGATTTAAGAGCATGCCTTTTTAGATTAATGAGCTAGGTATATCAATAAATCCCTCAATAAATGAACTAAACTTCAGCTCAACATTAATGAGCTATCAACTAAAAAAAAAAGCTCAACTTCAATAAACCACTACCTCCTATCATCATTTTCAGCTCAAACCGAGAACCATAAGCCAACCCGAGAACCAGCAGCAGCCCAAAGGACCCATCAAGCTAGCAAACCAAAGGTCTACCAAAGCACAACCTACCATGATTATTGGATGCTTTCCCATCATTGGATAGCTAAAAAAAATATAAAACTAAATTAAAAACTAATGTTCAATATTCGGTAATGAAAATACAGAAATTATGATTGCATCAACAAGGCATTAATACAACATCTAATGGGCACAAAAATCGAAGGGACAACTGCCCAAACCGAAGGGACAATAGCTAGGGGAAAATGAGGCATTAATGCAACATCTATTGGGCAAAAACATTGAAGGGGAAGCTGCCCAAACTAAAGTAACATCAGCTAGGGGGAAAACGAGGCATTAATATAATAGCTAATGGTCACAAAACCGAAGGGACAACTGCCCAAACCGAAGGGACAACTGTCAAGGGGAAAAATCGAGGAAAACAAGGCCCATGAGGGGACAAACCTGCAGCCCACCAAAGGAAAAACCAAAGAAACAAGCTGAAGTATAGGGAGAGACATACCTACGAGCACCAACCTAGCATGATCATTAGAGTCCTTCCATCATAGGGTAACTAAAAAAAACATAGAATCCAAAACATAGAAAAATAAAAAAAAATGAAAAAAATAAAAGATAGAATGATAATCCTTGATTGCATCAGTATATGTTTTAGATATCTTGGGTCTATTGTTCAGAGGGATGTTGAAATAGATGGGGATTTTATTAGTAGAATTTGTTGGATGGTTGAAGTGGAGGAATGCATCGAGACTACCACCCAATCTTATAGGAAAATTATTTAAGATGGTGGTTAGACCCATCGATTAAAAAAGCGATCGAGGCGTCCGAACAGAGGCGCGACTCAGTTCGAGGCGCTAACCCAGCGCCTTGAGGCTTAAGCCTCAATGTATTTGACGAGGCGTGCGATTTTTTTCAGCAAGCGTATGTGTCGAGGCGTAACGCCTTGAGGCAACGTGAGGTGACACCTCATTAGGATTCGACGGAGCTCACAACGAAGAACAAATTCCTTATCTTTCGAGCGCGCTGCTTCCGCTTCGTCCCTTTTGAGAGCTACTTC